TAAGCACAAAAGTGCAATCAACAGAAGAATAGCAATAGAAGAAGAAGAAAACAGAGCCACGCAAATTTATATTAACAACATCAAACCTGAAATTGGAACAATCCTGATGGCAAATGAACCAGCCACGATGGAGAAAGCGTAAGGAAAAGCAATGGAGATCAATATAGATGAAGGACCTTATGTCAATCATTGACAAATCTACAATCCGTGGATATGAGGAGGTCGAACATGACTACGTTTAGACCCATGACTAAACCAATTGAGAGACAAGATCTACCGCAACACGGCACACCTCTCGCTGAGGCACAGAAGATGAAATATTTTAAATGCGGCAGACGGGACATCTGGCAAGCCAATGCCAGGATTTTCGGACGCGCCAGCAGGGAAAGCTACCACCCCACAAAATAAACAAAACGGACGTACAACCACCGCCAGAGGACTGTGGAAGAAGCAGAATCAACAGAATATCCGCTGGACTTCGATATATTGGAGGAGGTTCTAGAAGACTCGCCAGAAAACTCTCGAAATTACTCTTGGACACAGGATCAAGTATTAATGTGATAAAGCAGGGAGTAACAGATAATCCACTAATAGAAAAAAACACGAAATATGGGAAACGATATTCATAGATCAGAATTCGCAACTAAATTTAACATATTAGGAAAAGAACATCTGTTCCATGTCATACCCGATTCCTTCCCTATTCCAGAAGATGGAATAATTGGCCAATCTTTCATCTCTAAACATAGATACGCAATAACCAATACCCATTTGATTTTAGGTAATAAAGGAATACCGCTTCGTACTAATGTGATCCTCGTCCCAGATGAGTGCCGTGTCAAGGAAGCCATGATAGAAAACAACCCAACGATGGTATGTTTCATTAACAACAATGAGCACAAAATTCAAGATGATGTAATCGAAATCGAAAATCCAAGTTTAACTAATAGAACCAAAGCGTTAAGAACAAAAATCAGATTAGATCATGTAGAATCATGATTACGGGAACCATTAGAAAAAATAATTCTCTCTTATAGTTCAGCTTTTTCTCTAGACATAGACCCTTTACCTTGTACTGACCTGACATCCCATCAAATTGATGTTAAAAACACCAAGTCTATTAATGTAGAGTCCTATAGACCACCTGAATGCCACCGAAATGAAATTAAACGACAAATTAATGAAATGTTAGATAAAAAATAATAGAATACTCCGATAGTCCTTATAATGCACCAGTCTGAGTAGTGCCCAAAAAATTAGACGCAACAAGCAAACGAAAATGGCGAATTGTCATAGATTTTAGAAAGCTCAATGAAATTACAGACCAGGATGCTTATCCTTTGTTCGACATAGATACGATTTTGTCTCAACTCGGAAACGCAAAGTTCTTCTCGGTCTCAGATCTCTTATTCGGATTTCATCACCGATGCACCCAAATTCAAAAAAATATACTTTTTTCAACATCCGAAGGACATTTTCAATATAATCGAATAAATTTGGACTCAAAAACGTTCTCGCGACTTTTCAATGATTAATGGACAGAGTACTGAAAGGACTAACTGGCAAATATTGTTTCGTATATCTTGACGATATAATCATTTTTGGACAAACGATACGAGGACACAATACGAATCTAGCAATGTTACTCCAACGACTGACAGAATTAAATTTAAAGTTAAAACCGGATAAATGTGAATTTTTAAAACCTGAACTGGAATATTTGGGCCACGTTATTAGTAAAGATGGTGTAAAACCAAATCAGAAAAGAATTGAAGCTGCAAAAGAATTTAGATCATCCAGAAAACCTCAAAGAAATTAAACAGCTCTTAGGTCTAGCCGGTTATTATAGGAAATTTATTCGAAATTTTGCAAAGATAGCTAAACCATTGTCGAAATTAACAAAAAAGAACGAACCTTACAGATGGACTGATGTGCAGTAGATAGCTTTTCATACACTCAAACTTAAATTATGTGAGGAACCAGTTCTGAAATATCCTGACTTTAATAAAAAATTCGTATTAACTATCGACGCAAGTAACGATGGATTAGGAGCAATGTTGTCTCAAAACGGACACCCCTGTTGTTATATATTGCGGACACTTAATGTAGAAAAACATTATACGACGACTGAAAAACTAATTAAAATAAAATTATTAGCGGTAGTCTGGGCTATACAACGACTAAGATTTGTTAGAATGAAAGTTTAAAATTAGGATAGACCACCAAGCATTAAAATGGTTACATAATGTCAAAGACCCATCTTCAAGG